GGGTTCATATTACAATTATTTTGTCGAAAACGAACAAAAATCGAGATGACGGCTTCAAAATGACGAACAAGTTAGTGTTTGCCAACTAGAGTTGTTGGGGTTTTAGATTATGTTTTTTTTTTTTGGAAAATATAAGAATAAGAATAAGAATCTGATACGAATGCTCCAGAATGGGGGAAGAAACAAAAAATAAAAACCTAACTTGTTAATTTCCAGAACTGAAAACTTTGGCATGATAAAACACTACACTGTTGGATCACTCACCGAAACAACTTATTATATGCCTCGCCAACTATGTCAGTATCAGGAGAAAAGGAGAGAATGAAGTTTCAATATTTTGCTGATGCTGATATCGTTAGCAGAATATGTGTACGAGTACAAGAACTTGAATAGCTGGAGAGGTATTCGAGTTCTTGTACTTGAAGCACGACCTGATTCAGCAGAATCATAAAGCAGCAGGAATCATCATCATGGGCGATTCCAATAAACACAACACTGATTGGTTCGTACACCCTAATGAAACGGATGGAGCTGAGCGACAAGTCGAAGCTTTCTCTATCACTCACATATTAATGTAGGTCATTGAGGAAACTATACGAATTCCTTATATATCAACAATCATTTGGTAACACCCTCGACTCATTCCTCACTAATAGGTCAGCACTCTCACACCATAGAAGAACTAGCACTACTTGCCAATTCTGATCACACTCATTTCCACAAACTGGCCAATCTTCATTCCATCAACTGCTCCAGCACCACCACGTCTCATATGGCGTTATAACCCAGGAGACTGGGACAGTCTCCGCATTTTATTGCGTGGTATCTTTGGCATAGAATATGCTTCCATTGTGAGGAACCTTCACCGTGTACCGCGGAAATATCCGAGATCATTAAGCTTGGAATAGTCACATAATACCCCATTCTTCGAAGACACCATCAGCTCTGAAACCCTGGTTCAACAATAACTGTTCTAGAGTTGTTGCCTTGAAACAAACAGCCTACCATCACTGGCGCAAGGACCCAAACCTCGTGACTAGAGCAGAATATGATGAAGCAAGAAAGATTTGCAGCCGAACAAAAAGTGGCATCGAAAGAATCATACAATGCTACAATAAAATCAAAACTCATAGATTGTCCAAATGGTTTTCATTCGTATAGGTCGCTCGCTCAAGAAGTTGAAAGGAATTCCACTAATTGTTTATCCCTACCACTTTCCCAAGACAACGGCACAGTATCAACAACACCGCTAGAGAAAGCGAACATTTTTGAAAGTATGTTCGCAGCAAACTCCACCTTGGATTCTTAGAAAAATCACCTGTTGAAAGTCGAATACCCGAAATTGTCTTGCGTCAACGCACTACCAGCCGCATTCTGCTTGGTCTCAAAACGACTGAGTCCAAAAGTCCCGATGAAATTTCACACATCGTTCTCAAAGATGTTTGATCACTCTCATGAAAGTTGAGGAGGAACCTTTAGATTTCCATCTATATCTACCATCTCCTACAAGTCCATCTTGCTGGAAATAAGCTAGAGTCCAACCAATCTTCAAAAAGGAATCAAGAGCCTGCCCAGCAACTATAGGTCGATTGTCCTGTTATCGGTCATCTACAAAGCGATGGAGAAAGCATGAACATTGAGCTCATCAAATATCTTGAAAGCTCAGGAATCATAAATGATAGATAACTGGAGATTCACTTGCCTACGTTACCCATATATGGCAAACTTAATTGGAAAAAAATGAAGAATCTCTAGCTGTAGCGCTAGATAGACCAAAGGCATTCGACCGTGTTCGGCACCAAGGACTGCTCCACAAACTACCATCACACGGCTCACCACCTCAGCTATGCCATCTTCCATCGAGTTTTCTTTCAGGCAGATCAACGATTAATTGGGAGCAACCACTTTCCCTATTCACAGCTCAGCAGACCATTGTACTCTCAATGCTGCTTTCTGTTCTGGAATATCCATTTCTTCCTAGAAAACCAAACTTACTTGCGACGAAGGCAGGCCAACGCTGTCAATGGAGATCTTGCGGAAATTACAGCCTGGGGAACCAAATTCAACGTCACGAGAACGCAAGCCTGTATCATCTCTAGAAAGGCATAACTCAGTATGCCTGATATAACAATATCTAGTACCATCATTTCCACCAATACCACTATATCTATGATCGGTATCACCAACAGCAATACTCTCTCATGGAAAAATCAAGTTCGATCCATCGCAAAAGCTGCTGCACAAAAACTCGGTTTCTTGTTTCGTGCGGAAATCTACTTCACACCATAACAGCTCCTCATAATCAACAAAGCACATATTTGACCAGTCTTAGACTACTGTTCTCATGTATGAAGTCAAGCACTCAAACATACGCTGATGTTCTCAGATTCCGTCCAGAGAAGAGTCATTCGCCTGGTGGGTGATGCCACATTCCCAACTCTTTGACCCCTTTGGAGAACCGTATAATAGTCGCTGACCTTTCACTTTTCTATAAATACTTCCAGGCGAAATGGTCTCGAAAAATCTCTACTATAATCACATGACTAGCAATACCAGTCAGACGAACACGACAGGCTCAGTCAGCACATCCCTTCGTCGTCAACCTTGAACAATGTCGAACATCACTCTAATAAAAACTCGTTCGTCTATAGAACGGCGAAGCTTCTGAAATTTTTCTCACTGGAAGTATTCCCAAGAACTTATTACCTCCAAAACTTCTGGAAAAATTCCAATACCTACCTCCACTTCGTGTCCTTCCTAACAACAACTAACATTGAAGAATTTTTATCTCGTGCGCTGCAAGAGATGAAAAATCAATATTTTCCCCAAATTTGTATGGAGCTTTGACTTGGGATATTGATTTTATTGAACTATCGGGCGGTATGGAGACCCAGGTTTGGCTTCAGGAGAAGCTTACATTCATTTGAGATATGAAAAACACAATGTATCTGATAATTAAGGAAGTTCCTCAGGAGAATCGTGAAAAAGAGAAAAACTGAACTGGATATGAAACTTCTTGTTCTCCCGCTACCAATTCTCATAGTAACACTCATAAACAGAAAGTTGGAAGTATGCTGATTAGAAAAGTATCTACTGCTACTAATTCGCATTGTAACATTTTGTATCGAAATGTTGAAATTACGTCAATATGACAGGATACAAATTAAAAATTAATGGTGGTGCGTAGGATATTTTCTGTTGTTCGTCTGTCTAAGAACTATTCCAACTCATATGCAGAGATTTGAAAAAAAAGTAATTTCCGAGAGTATTAGAATTTGGAAACTAATAGTTCACTTAAAAAATAATTTCGAATCTGCGACTAGTCTGATTTCATTCTTGTGTAAATAACTATCGAAAATTATTACTATATAGTGATCACCGCCTATTCGCGGTAGACAAGGTCATCATCTGACGTTGCGATGACATGGAAACTACGGGATGACATGTCTAATTTTCAATCTGAGCCAGAAATTGGGAATGTTCTCCTGTAGTTTTCATGTCATCGCAACATCAGGTGATGACTTCGGCTACCGCGAATTGAAAAAGAGGAAAGATAGTATTATGGTGTAAATCAATATATTATCGTCCTAATAACGGGCCAACAGTTTTATTTATAATCTCCATCCTAACAAACAAACATAATTTCAACATTTTGCTTTGAGTATATTTGGGAGCAGTATATACTGCTTTCTCGAGCGATTATTCAGCTAGTAGACATCAAATAATCATAATTGAAAGTGGTTCCATGATTCCAATACTCTTCAAATTGACATACTTTCAACTTTTTGTAAATGAGTGTTACGATGAGAATTGGTGGCAGAACAACAAATAGTATCAAACCAAATCGGATTCCTCCTCCTCTTCAAAATTTTTTTGATGAATCTACTCAACAATTGAAGTATTAATTTGATATTTCATATTAATGTGAATTTTCCTGAAGCCAAACCTATATTCTCAATCCGCCCCATTGGTGAGTAAATTCACCGTCCCAAGTATAAGCACTTCACCAAATTTGAGATAAATATACTGGGTACTTCAATACTTTACAAATTTATTCCACAATGATTTCATTACGAACGTGCGAGACTGCCAAGCCGACATAACTTGATATCTAGGTTCTGAGGATTCTAAACGCTTGTAGTCTATGAAATTCATTTTCAATATCATTATTGAATCACCTTGTGTCTTATGATATTCGCGTTCTAGATAATGAGTTATCAGTATATAAGACGTATTTGTGGACAAGAGTTGCAATATTTCGAAGGTGATCAATGTCATTGAAATGAATAGTACCTGATTAGAACAGGTGTATTTGATATTGGACAGTTCGAGATATCAACATTTTCCAGAGTTCCTATAATGAAAACTGCTTGTAACCTCTTTCTCACAGAGTTCTTGATATCTGTGCCTGGTTGCCACATCAACAACAATTTTCCATAGGAGAATTATGTCATATTAATCGCGAGAGCAGTGCGTCATAAAAACTCGTGCTATAAGCTACTCCACATTCCAATAGCTTCTTGGGATATACGAAGCACATATTCACCCTGTTTCAGAATACTGTCTTTATAATGCTGATAGAATTCATTGAATCAGCCATTCACCTGGTTGGTAATGTTGTACTCACTAGTTCCTTGACATCATGAGAACACCTGAGGAAAGTTGGCGACCTTCCTATCCCTCAAACATCCTTATACAAATAATTATTCTTCAGAAATCATTCCATCACTACCAATACTAGTTCGACTAACTTTCAACTCGAAATTTTGGCCTATGACAGCCTCAATGTTGTTCATGATGATATTATCTCCTCATCGTTCCAAATCAATTTCAAATTAGGATGATTTTGGAAAAGCCTATCAATGGATCATTGACACTTGAGTAACATGAAATATTCTATTCACAAATAGACATATCCAAGCAGGATACTCTACAGAATAGTTCATAATCCATCACTTGAAAATGTAACATCATAACATATTTTTTCATTTGGGTTTCAGCCAAACGGAAAGCTGTACGAGAGTTTCAGCGTATTCTGTCCTTGTGAACAACTAAATAACCTGGAGTTGCTAACTGAAGAAGATATATTGATCGACTGGTCTCAACCGGTCTATATGAATTTCACTCACGTCAAGATTATGAACAAACTCGAAGATTTATATTCAAATATGGGAGTAATGGACAAAATGTATGGAGACATTTACGGTTTGGTTGATCCAGATACACGTTGTGAGGAGAGTGCTACTGAGACGTGAGTATACTTGAGGTGGACCATTGAATACAACGGATACATTTTCATTGGTGTATATCAACAAACGATTGATGATTTATTCACATTCACATTTTCATAATTCACCTCTTGGTTCCTATTGAATCAACTACCTGGATACATTTGGTCGCCAGTAGATTAATTGATTTTGTATCCATTATTTTGATGTCGCTGACAAGTTGTGTTCAGCCTTTCAACCGGAGTCTGCGCGATGATTGAGAGTGTTAATAAGTCTCTAGAATTTCTGACGAGCATATTCCCTTGAAATTCGTATCGTTGTATCACCTGAAAAATAAAGTACCCATGAATGATGAGGTCCCAACGAACGTCTTATGCTCCAAGGATTGTTATACATATTATTGAATACACTCTGTTCATCTTATGTATATTGATATATCGATATTTTGTTAGCTTTGGTATCGATGAGGCTGATTGTGGATATGAGAATCTTCTGTTACCTAAAATGAAATAAGGTTATATTATGTCACTCATTATAATATGGAATACTCGAATTAACGAACCAAATCTAAGAATTGAATAGCTTTGAGAGAGCCCTAATGTTGTTGCGTTCAACATTGAATAATCAGGTTCTCTCTTCCTGTGAATTGAGAATGCACTGGGATGACCTGTATTCTTCCTAAGATGCCCTGATCAGATGCGAGTCCTCAGACGGAGTAGTATGTACATCGTCCTAGAGATACTGTTAAACTTTCAATTGCGACATTGATGAGCATGGGTGATTCCTGGTGCTTGGCGTTGTTGGAATAACCAGATTTACATTATCCATCCCACGATGATACCTGACATTGAGAGTTTGCGTGTGTATCATCTTTGCCGATATCTCATATAACAATCCTCACGTCATATTCCTGCTATCCAACCAAAAAGTACCATTGTGAAGTGGAAAGGAGTCTATGGAACTCCCAGCGGATTCATAGTATGGTGAGTCGTTGTAGTGCTACCGAGTAATCCCTATGACATATTCGTCAATTCTGAATCCTTTTTGATTCCACCTCTTGGTTGACGTCCACGTAATGCGAACCACATTGAGGCTATAGAATTGCTATCGGTGACCCTTCAAGTCAAAATACTCAGCCTTCATTGAATTCTCTTCACCCTTCCCACTTCTCCGAAATTTTGTGTGAGTCGCCCTATTTGCTTCGAGATTTGTTATTCATGGTTGGAGTGGTGAAACCATCGAGTATTCTGTTGAATATCACGGATTCGTTTTTCAACTTGAGTAGATTTATTGGAATACAAATCATGTTGATGAGGTATCGAACCTATCAAACAATCATTCAAAAATAGGCAAAACGTGCTGAACTTGATGAAACTGATCGTACATTGTTTAAATTTCGATTTGGATAGTACCCGCAATGCATTTTTGAAGCGACACAATGCAAATAACGCAATCGTCACGACGTCGCTGACTCTTTCAGATATCAAATTCCACAATGAGGACAGTGTATTTTATTAGAAGCGTTCATTCTGATTCATTCGAATCTATCAATAGTTCTAAGTGCATCAATCTGCCAGAAATTGAATTTACAAAATTTGGAAATGATAAGGCATATTCATCATATTCAGGATTGTTCAACGATTCCTCACATTCTGATACATTGTTGAGTGAAATTGAGAAATTCGATCATTTAGTATTGTCGTGACAGAGTGCTTCTTTATTGCTTGATCGCACATTATCCTTGATTTCTGATTATGAAATCGCACACCATACTTCAGAAGAACGATACGCACACACACGTCTATGCGCACGAGCTCATTTGGTCAAGCTTGAGAATTCTGCCAAAGTTTCTTCTTATCATAACAACGCCGTTGGCAACCATCAGATACGTTTTCAGAAAATTCGTCCGCGCTTGAAGAAATGAAGTATCTTACTGGGTTCTGATGCTTTCGAAATGTCTTGACCAAACTTTTATAACCCGCTTCGAGCAAGAGCATCTTGTTGATTTTTTGAACTAGCATTGCGTCGCACTCGGAACGATTAAGTTCTTGCAATATTCGTTCCATGTAAAACTCGTTCCTATAATTGAACCGCCTGCTCTCTCAACTTCAGCCAAATTGCTATCCGTTGACTTCTACATCTCCTCTATCGAAACTCCAACTTCTACTTGTGCACTTTGTAGAAAAATCATTCACTTTCATGTGCTGCTTCTGCTGCCAAATCAGAATCAGAACGCTACTCTGTTTGCCGATGATCAGCTCATCCCTGCTTCTTTGACTGTTCGAGCAGTGCTCATGATATACAGTCATGCAGATCAAAATATACTTGTGAATGAGGCAGATCTATTGGAATTAGAACTGAATCCACCCTGTATTCATCCATATTATATCATCTAAGATGGTCTTGATGTTATTTTGATATTATGTAGTTCAGTTGTTTATAATAAAGTATATAATCTGTCACGTTCCTGAAAGGTTCAATATAATCCTTCCAAGTGTTCACCAATTTATAACACTTTATCATCCTTTTACAAGAATATCTAGGTACCATCATACTCTTTTGCACACACATTGATGTACTGAATCATCCCTTTCGTTCACATTCGAATATCAATTCCTTCAATAACTTTGCTGATCAGAGTGGTTTTCGGAATACTCTCGAACAAAATTCGTCTTCTTCTTTCCATCTCATTTTACTTATTCTGCGAATAGTGCCAGTAGAAGTACTACTACTCATTTGGCGGGCACACAGAATAGTATTTTGAAAAACCACCGTGCTACTAGCAACTGCATGGATTGATATTCTTGTTAGTCGAGGGGAGTAGGTTGAATAATTGATGGTAGTTACAGTTCGTAAGTTCGGTTCACATCATTCTCAATTTGCCACTGAAACGAGATGAATAAGGGCGATGCAATATTACTCAACTGAATATCAACTCACCCTCGCCATCAAGCCTGCAGAAGAATACTCCTCTCTTTTGTTTACTGATGCTATAATTTCAAATAACATTTGTGATCATACACCTACTTCAAATCTTTGTGTCGAAACTAGTTCGCATCTCTCGAATATGCAACTTGCTGATCATGAATTTCATTCTCCTGATGCTGTGAACGTATTATTGGGTGCTCACTCTTTTTCGGAAGTTGAATTCAACGGTGAATTGTCTGGAAATCCTCATGCACCGGGAGCAATAAATACGGTATTTGGTTTCATCGTGATAGACGCTTGCAAAATTTTACTCCATCTATTCCTTCCAGAATTTCTTCTTTTTCTACGATGTAGAATGAACTCTGGAAAAATTTTGGGAGGTGGAGGAAATCTTGTAGGTAGAGATCACCTAAAGAAGTTTCATGGGAAGAACATTTTTCTTCAACTCTTTCCAGAGATTATTTTGGCCGCTACAAGGAATTATTGATTTTCATTGATCCTCATCTCACTTCACCTAATATTAGTGATTGAGTACCTTGTGACCAAATTGCATTATTTGAAACGTTGCCCTATGAAACAACCTCATTTTCATACTCAATTAGCTGACCAAGCAAAAGTTGTTCTGCTATGAACATTTGTAGAAAATATTCCAATTGAATATTTATCACCTATGATTACACAGGAACTCTTTTTTTGTCGAAGTAAACTTGACATGTTTCAATAAGAATTTGGTTGCCTGGCAATTTGACGAAAAAAACTGTATCTGAAAAATGTTTGCTGGCAGTCTTTCGAGTTGAATTACCTAATGGCAACAAAATTCGAATTATAAATGCCAAGTTCACTTCGACTGAAAGAAAGCTAGAGTGTGATTTGGTAAGACAATTCAATTCATCAAACAATTTGTTCATTGGTGGTTGTCATGCTTGGAAAAGTTAGGTTCCGTTATTGTCGCTGGAAAAGTTAGGGCAAACTTTTTTCGCTGTCATAATGACAAAATCACACGACTTGTGGAATTTTTCATACATGAATCGAATTGTCAACATAATTCCATTATTTCATTTTCCCTTTTTTTTCAGTTCGACCCATAGACAAACCAAAAATAAAGAGACTGTTCAAAACATAGGAAATTTTGACCATCAAGTTTGTGCGCAACCCAGTCGCGCACGGAGGCGCTGTTCGCAATAGACAAACGAGTCATGACATGAAACATTTTGAATTTCGACATTCGACAGCACGACAGTGCTAAACTTAATTTTTTTTTCTATGACTTTCTCTGTTTATATCATGCTATGAACAGAGACAACTATGGAAAAACATCAACTTTAGCAAGTTTCATTTCAGAACGAAGGAACAGACCAATGGAATACAACAGATATTGTTTATTTTCCGAAGTGATGTTGATACAGAAATTCGAGTTTCTCTTTCACATTTATTTTACTTTATTTCCGAGTTTATTTCTATTATTGACAGGGTGAAATTGATAATATTCATGTAGGTTGCACGTAGGTACATTTTTATAGAAACATAAGTGATATTCTTCCATTCTGAACTAACCGAAATATGAACGGAACTGAATTAAACATACATTTTATCGAATTGAAGTAGGTATTATTGAAGAACGCATGTTAACTGATTTCAGTTTTATGTTTGTTTTATGTAATATTTCAGTATTTCAGATTATATAATAACTTTTTTAATAACTTTTTATTCACACAAAAAAATAACTACAAGAAAAATGTACCACAAGATGAGTACAGTTGTGAATAAAATATACTCGATAAGTGATAATTCACTTGTTTCGAGATAGATAATAATAACTAATACTAATTCAATAGCGTTTCGAATAGTTTACCTATAGATATAATAATGACAATAACGAAAAAAAATAAATAAATACAAAAAAAAAAACGAAAAACGAATGAGACAGTACAAAAGTATTAAAAGTAATTGCTATAAATTGAAATACAAATTGAGAAGAAATGCATAATACACTTGGACCTTGATACAATGATCAATTAAAATAATTATTTATCATACTTCGGGGATTTATTAAGATAAACTCCCTAAGGTTCTTTTTGAAAGATGATATATGTGG